CTAAGGGACTCGCCGAGTTCCTTCAATCCTCTTGTGTTCAATCCTTTCCAGCGGGATCTAAGGTCCCAAACTTCAGATCCAACCTCCCCTAGTGTAGATACCACGTAAAGTTGCAAACTTTACGTGCATGCAAGCCTCCCAAGGATATAACATCAAATCTAAGCTTCCTACAAGGTTTTAGTGCATGGAAAGGGCCTAAGCTGGATAAAGTGAGCAACTTTATGTCATTGATGACCTAGAGAAGTCCAGATCTGGAACCTTATTCTTGTGATAAGTCCAAATCCGAGTATGACCCCATTTTGCACCAAAAGTGACCATATTCTTCCATAAAATGAGATCTAAGCAAATAGAGATCAAGGTAGCAACTTTTTACCTCTAAATGGATGCTAACAACAAGTAGATGCCGGATCCAAAGACTTCTCTTCTCTTCAATCTCCTCAGCCTTCAAGTTTCCTTCTCAAAAGCACAAGTTCCACTCTCCAAGGCTCACACACACTCAAGAAAGCACCAAAATGCGACTAGGGTTTCTTTCTGGATTGTAAGAACGATGAAAGAGGCTAAAAGTGAGCCATAAGTTCTTTAAATAGGGTACAAACCCCTGAAAATTAAGGTTTCTGTTTACAGCGCCTACTCGTCGAGACGGGGCCTTCCGACTCGTCGAGTAGGATTTAAAACTCGCGTCCTCATAATGATCTCTACTCGATGAGTTGGAGCTCCCCAACTCACCGAGTCCATGCACAAAACCCTAATAATTAGATAAATTAAATAATACCTGGAACAGGTGTTACATAGAGTAGTAATCCTCATCCTTGACTTTCTCCTTCTTCTCCCCCTTCTTCCTTAACATGCAGGCCTTCATAAGATGATTGTATTCGTTACAATAGTTGTAGTTGTAACCAGAATCACCTTTCAACTTCTTCTCGGTCTTCTTTTCTTCTTCCTTCTTCTCTACTTTCTCAACACCTTTTTGTCCTGCACATGTGTTTTTTTTATCGGCTTCTTCTCTGAATTGTTCTTGAAATTCCAACTATTTGGCTTCTTGTAGAACTTTTTCACCCTATTATTGGAATAGTAGACATCAACTTCATCATCAGAGTTTACTAGAAAACCCTCTTCGCCTTCTTTTTCTTCTTCATCAGACTCATTCTCTTTCGCATTTGTGTTGGAGCCTAGAGCCATTCGACCTCCAAAATTCATTTTGTTATCTTCAACAATCTCCTTTACTTCCGACTCATGTGCTTTCAGAATATTATAGAGATTCGACAAAGAATAGATGTCGAAATTCTCTTGAGTCTTGATCATGAGATAAATATTTCTCTATTCCTTTCCCAACCCCAAAACGAAGGTAAGATTTAACTTCATGGTTGTACGAACAACTCCATATGTTTTTCATTTGAAGATAATTAAGCTCAATAAACCTACCGTAATATGCTTTAATAGTCTCATACTCCTTTTTCTTAAAATTGGCCAATTCCGACAAGCATAGCGTCACAGATCACTCTTTGGTTCTTTCATTCCCTTGATACTTTTCCTTCAAAGTATCCCAAATCTTCTTCACTGTCTTGCATCCTCGAACATAGTTTTAAAAAACATGTAGAAGAGCTCCTCGCAATTCTGTTGAAACAATAAAAACTTAGATCGATAGATTCTATAAACGATGTGAACAAAATAACACAAACAATGAAGATCAAATAGTGCTGAATGCTTAGATTGAATAGCTTTAGAAGAGTTCAACGTGAACTTTTCTATAAAAGCTAAGTTGTGCAAATACAATCGATAACCCTAGAACGATACATGCATGCACATTAAATAGTCTAACCCTAGCAAACCATAAACCCGGATGGATAGACCCAATTCGTTATAAATAAGAATATATACGTACAAAAAATTTGACACAACACATTAAATAGCACAACAATCTCCCCATTTGTGTCAAATAAAGAAAGTAGATTCTTCATTGTTGTACCTTCTGAACCTTGAACAGCTTGGTCATCAAATTCAGAAGAGTATTTTTGATCACAAGATACCATTTGATCATGTCATTAAAGCATTTCAGATTCGCATCATTGTTTGCTTTGCATGCGACAGTTAAGCCCATGATGTTGTTCAGTGCAACAGTGGAGTACAAATGTTTGTCTAATAAGACTCAGACGACACCAAGATAAGATTTCGATGTAGTAGTTGGAACTTATGCCTCAACTCTAAACTTTCTGAAAGACTATGTTGTTGAGTTCTGCAGAGCTGATATCAAGTTTGCTCCTATTTTTGGAACAAACAAGTTCCTTTCTCCAACAAACACTAAATTAGAGGATGTATAACTTCTTGATGAAGCTCCAATTAATGATCCAGAACTAGGGTATATGTTCAAAAAGAAGAACCCGAGAAAGAAAGGGTTCTTCTAAGTCAAGCAAAATATATTGGTTCATATTAATGTGCTCCAGAATTTCATTTCAAAATTAGCAAATTCATAAGACTCAGACGACACCAAGAAGCAGCTCATTTGAATAACTGACCTGGTGGATCGAAGTTAGGAGTTAGATGTAGATTGCTTACTTGTTCGCCTTTGAGAAAGCGAATTGAGGATGTAAAGAATAGCTAAGATCACTTAGGGGGAGATTGATAGTACAATAAAGTGATACTTAGTATATTCGAAATTTGCATGTTTCAGAGATTGTTGAGCGTAAGGACTAATCAAATATTTGTACGAGGACAATGTAAATCAACTTTGAAACTTAATAGACCATATAATAATACATTTGCAAACATTTATTTATTTATAAACTTGGATGTTTGTCCATAACTATATAATTGTTAATTTAAATTAATTTTAAATGTATTGTGAAGATATAAGCAGTGTTCTTTATGTCTATATTAATGATAAAGTGGTTTTGTTGTATAATGAGATTTATAATTACAAAAATTTGGAAGAAAAAGACAATGAATGATGGAGATAATGTAATAATAATACATAAACACAAAATTAAAATAATTACAAATTAAATGTATCATCAATAAAATAAGGGAGAAAGAGAAGAAAAACAGAAACTTCCCTAAAAAACTAAATCAAATGATGAATTGACATAACAAGAGTTTACGGAGCTACATTTGTGTCCATGCACAAGTTACTGTGTTTTTGGTCTACGAAATCCAAGATTTGCACCCCTCCCCCCTGCACACGGGTAAGAATTATAGTAAAACCATATACACAAGCTTGTAAGCCTTTCATGCATTCAAGCTTATAAACCTTGTTGAGTTTGGTCTTTCTACCAATGTGGGACTCATTCTCACATTCATCTCTTTTGCTAAATTTATTCTCAAATACCCACCTTTGAGTATCGATATCTCATTCACATATACTTCATTTTGGACATATAATATATCGTTTCGAAGTTCTCACGGAGGAGAACACAAACCCACTTGGAGTTAATTATATATACAACATATGTATATATTTATATATGTCCAAAGTTAGTAAAAATATATATATTTATACTAAATTTTCCAACAAAGGCTAGGGTCCATGAGCAAAAGAAAAACAAAAATTTATAACCTTTAGAGGGTGTTTGGGAATACATTTTAAATGACTTTTGTCTTTTAACTTTTCTAAAAAGTTATAAAGATATTTGGAAGATGCAAAAGTTCTTTTTAAAATAATTTTTTGTAAAGAAGAAAAGAATGGCTTTTCAAAAGTAAATTTTAAAGCTAAATCACACTTAAAAGTCAAAAGTACTTTTTGTAACTTTTGAACTTTTAAAGCTAAATCACACTCAAAAGTTAAAAAAAAATACTATCCAAACACTTTTTAAAACCCATTTTGGCTTTTGTTTCCTCAAAAAAACTTTTAGGCTTAAAAAGTAATCCCAAACACCCTCTTAATAAAGGCTAAAAAAATTGATTTACAAGGGCCGAAAAATATCATTTAATAGGAGATGATAATTGATCAATATGGCTGTCATTGAGAACAAAATAAGTTAACAAGGCTCGTATAAGGCAGGGGAAAATCCATTTATCTTGTTAGGCTTTAAAAAGAAAATTCGATTAATGTAATAATGATTTTAAATATGTGGGCTGACATTTGGACTAGAAAAAACAATGAAAGTGGCTATAATGTCGACAAATAAAGAATGAATATTGTGGATTAAATATGAGCTTGAAAATTAATCATGTAGGTTTCAAGAAAAAGATTGATAAGGGATTTAGAGGCTTAAAAAAGGATTATGGAAAAAAAAAGTGTAAACACGCTATTAAGGTATTCAATTATTTTACTCTTTCAAAAAAAAGGTATTCATTTATTTTTATCGGTTAAAATTGTATTGTTTTATGAGAAGACTAATTATAAATAATCAGTTATATGTGGACTTTTGATAAATGTGTCATGAAATGTATATTAGCAACCCCAAATAAAAGTAGCATATAATGCTTCTACATAGGGTTAACAAGAAGCGACTAAAGGTGGTGATTTGTGCTGGAATACATAATAATGGGGTAGTATATACTACTATATCGACTTCAAAAACTTGATTAAACATATTGTTCTGGAAATTTTTTTGAGGAGTTTGTAAAAGTTGAACACAACAAAGAAGATCAACCAATGAAAAAAAAATTGTCCAGATTGTTCTTGAAGTCGTTTTGGTTGATGTGGGTGTTTAATGGTTCAAGAGCAATGATGTTGATCCGGTAAGGATCGTTTTGGTTGATGCAGGTGTTTAAAGGGTTACATTGCTGATATATCTCTAAGGAGAGAAGAGAGAAAGAAAATGTAGGAATGAATAAAACCTAACATCTAAATGATTTTATATAATAGTCTTACAAAGTGTCATAATGCTATCTAAACCCATTATAAAAAGGAAACATTCCAAAACAAAATAAATACCACGTGTTATAATCAAATAATAACTCCTTAATATTGTTATTTTCGGGCCTATATATATAAATATAAGCACACAATAAAAAGGTTTGGGAACATCTTCAACAATTTTTTACGATAAATATTTAAGAACGATGCTTGCAAAATATATTGTTTCTCACTAATTAAGGATCATAGGAACTCGCATGAAGCTTTGGAACATTTAAAAACACGGGCACAGGTTACAACAACAAACCGAATATTTAGGACACGATAAATCGAAGCTGCACCTACACGAAATTGTGCAACACTTGCAAAGTCGCCAACTACATGATTTCTTTACATCGCAACAACACGAGATGTGTGATCCGCAACAAGTCCCACAAAAGCAACACATCCACGACAAACAACTAAATTTTCTCCTGCTTTTACATTTTGAAACATAACAATACAAGTTGTTACTCCACCAATAATTCAAATAATTACTGTAAAATGTGTATTTTTCTAGCAACCCTAAAGTTGGCCCACACTGTCCCACTCCCATCCCAAAAATATCATGTAAATGAGGCTAATTAAGTGGCTATTTCAGAGTACAAAAGCCAGTCCACATTAGAATTGAAACTTGTATAGTTGAGAGTGGTTATGCGCCCTGGTGGCAATTTAAAGGAATAAATGAACGAACAGTGCAAAAAAGCGTACCCAAAGATCTTCAAAAAGTTCTTCGATCCACCACTCATCGGGTTTCTGCTCCGAAGCAAATTAATATGATTAAAAGGCAAAAGCTCGCTATGAAATTTGATGAAAGAAATTTTGTGATTAACAAATCATACATTGCTATTAGTGGATCTGGTGTAGCATCTATAAAGTCGTCCAGCCTGCATGTAGTATTGTTAGGTCAAAAGATATGATATTACAAAAGAATTAAATCGAATTTGACATACTCTTTGCAGCTGCTTGATGCAAGCCCGATACTTCCAAGTGATTTGATCTCATCCTGTTTTCAACATATTTTTCAAAAGAAACAGTTGGTTAAAACCTAATTACCATGATTTCTATATACTTTCTTCACTAGATTAACTAAAGCTTCATAGTCAAGCATGCAAATCGTTGCATCTGTATGTGAATTGTGAGAGATAATGAACCAATTAGATTGGTTTATCAACTCATCACCAACTATTTCAAGTTAATTATTTCAATTTTGAGGTATTAAAGTGTTGCATTTTACCTATTGAGCTTTTTAACTTCACAATCGATATGATTTACAACGTTTTGACGAAATTACAACAAACGCAATGAATAGAAGCAAAATGGTGTTCAAATTGTAACAAAATCCATATGCATTTTACGTTAAACAATGAAGAAGATTAACTTGAAAGGAGAGTACAAGGCGAGACCTGAAGCAAGCCGATTTCTCTCTCAATCACCTGAACCCTAGCAGCTTGACGGCGCTTCCCGTACAAATCGACATAGCCAACGAACGGAGAAGAAGAAGCAAGCGGCATTACTGATGCTCATGAGGATGACAATGAATCACATGAAGATCCACTCACTGACTCGGGCTTAAAATCACATCATTATTCCATTTACAGTCCTGTATGCATTTACAGAGCTACAAGAGAAGGAAGAAACAGGATTGCACCGGAACTGCCTTCTTATGCGACGTCGTGTGGGAATGGGAAGAGCATGAGTGAATTTGTGTCAGTGATGGTGGGTACGAACGCCATTATTTTACTGATCTCAAATTGGCAACAAGTATGAAACCGTCATGGTCTTTGAATTTTTAATTTTTAATTTAACTTATTTATTTATTTATTTTAAATCTCGAAAAATTGATGCACTGCTGGATGCTCTGTATTTCGAGGTCATATGCGGCATTGCTAATTTTTTTTTTAGAAAAGGTACATTACACGAATAGTCCCTATGGTTTCGGTTAATCTGCATGGTTGGTCCCTAATAAAATTTTTTAACTCGGATGATCCTTATTATTTGTTTATGTTGCATGCTTGGTCCTACTACACTTAAAAAGACTATATCACCCCTACATATTTCTTTATTTAATAAATTTATATTTATTTATTATTTTTTTAGTAAAAAAATTGTTCTATAAAAGATGGGTCCAACCAACCCCTTATCACCTTCTTCCCTTAACGCCCCTTCTCTCTCTCTCTCTCTCTCTCTCTCTCTCTCTCTCTCATAAAACCAATGTTTTAAAAACCCGTTTTTTAGTTCAACCGTTCAATCAGTATAGTGACCGGTTTCCGATTTAACTAGTTTCAACCGCCGGATGAACCAGTTACTATAAATTTAATTACACGAATGGTCTTATGGTTTGGGGTAATTTGCGTGTTTGGTCCCTAACTTATTTTTTTTAACTCGGAAGGTCCCTACTATTTGTTTTTGTAACACTTGTATCTGGTTTTTGGGGGAAGGGCATGATGAGGATCTTGACGAAAAAAATAAATGAGGTGGTGGTGGGTTGTCGGAGGTGAAGGACTCAACAAAGAGGGTGATGGGGGAGGGGTGGGTTGGGTGGAAGGGGTTTGGGGTGGGTGGAATCCAATGGTTGTATTTCTTATTTAAATTTTTATTTAACTAATTAAAAAAATATATAAAAAATCTAGTAATGCTAGTATAGTCTTTTTAAGTAAGATAGAGACTAAACCCGCAATAAAACGAAACTATAGAGATCGTACGAGTTAAAAAACTTTGCTAGGTACCAACTGCACAGATTACCGCAAACCATAAGGACCATTCGTGTAATTTACCCTTTTAGAAAACAAAATTACATAAATGGTCTTTATGGTTTTAGATTTTTTGGTTTTCTCCCTGGCCTTTCTAGGTTATATGGATGGATGATGTTTCTTGTGGTTTCTACTTCTTGCATGGTTGTTCTCTAACTCAATAAAATTATTTATTTACCGCTCTACAATTTAATTAGTTCCTTTTATCTATATAAATAATTATATTTTATAATTAAAAATGAGTTTCCCATACCCGTTCATTAGCTCAAGAAACACCCCCACCCCCTATTGGCATTCTTCTCGTAATCTTTATATCATAGGGCTGAGCATGGGTTGGTTTTGCCCTAAAACCGAACCCAAACCGATGACCATCGGTTTCTAAAAATTTGAACTCTAACCGACCCTAAACCCATGGGTTCGGTTTTATGGTTTATCGGTTTCTAAATCGGGTTTTCGGGTTCGGTTTCGGTTTATGAGATAAACAAAACCTTAAACTGTTTTTCTACAATCTCATATCCTCACTTATATAGAAGTGAAGATAGCTTCTACTTTGATCCCTCAAGCGATGTGGGACAAAGCTAATAGCTTGATAAAACTGAAGAGGATGTATGTTCTGCTTATGTACGCGATCATATGTAGCTACGTTTCAATCATGTGCCGATGTGGGATGAGTTTATCTAGCAGCGAAAATGAAAGAAGTGAAATATTGGACACAGGTTTCGAACTTGACACCTCTTGAAAAACACGTGAGCGCCTTACCCACCTGAACCAGCTCATCATTTTGACATTACTTCGCTAAACATATTTATATTTGAATATAAATTATATATTTTTATAAACAATATATATAATCGGTTCGGTTCGGTTTCTATCGGTTTTACCAAACCCAAAAACCGAACCCAAACCGAAATTTTCGGTTTTCAAAAAATCTAAACCCAAACTGTCGGTTTATGCTTCAGTTTCGGTTTCTCGGTTTCGGTTTTGTCGGTTTTTATCGGTTTTCGGTTTCCGGGTTCGGTTTTGCTCACCCCTATTATATCCTCAACTTTCTCTATCAGTAAATACACCATCTTCGGAGCTCTGCTTCCTCCCTTCTCATATACAACAAACCTTCGTCGTCACCTCCTTCCACTAATCCGAAAAATCACCATCATTAATCGAAACCCTATAATTTTTTTTTCTTTTGAAAGAGACCAAATTCCTATCAAACTCAATGAACTTCCAGTTTTTAATTTTAAATAGCATGAGCTTGCAGGTCTGATGCATTTCAACCAAAATCAATTTAGAAGCCTTTTTCAAACAATGACCACAATGACCATTATGCCCTTATACAAAAAATACCATCCTACCACTTGACTAATAACATATTACCTTTTTTAATTACTATTTCGTTCGAATAAAAAATGACCAAAGTGACCAAAAATTTTAAAAAGTTGGATCTGGTTGAGAAAAAATTTTTATGGGGGAATTTCATATATACCATTATTAAACATTAAAATATTATATTTGCCCAACCTAATTTCTAAATATCATATTTATCCTTTTTAAGTTTTAAAAATATCAAATTTGCCCAAATCTCTTTTTTAAACATTTTATAATCATTTTAAATTCTTATATTTATCAACCGACTATTATACCCCTCTTATACAGTTAATATATATATATATATATATATATATATATATATATATATATATATATATATATATAATCTTCTAAAATATCATAGATATCCAAATTTACAAAAACTTGTTTATTTCTTTTGAAAATACGGATATCATCCTAATTCTTTTGGTTTTGTTGTATGTCGCATTCATGTCATCCAAGCTCCCATTCATGTCTTCTGCAAAATCTTGTCTTCTTTCACCCAACATACACTTCATCCATGCCAACTTACATGGAGTCTTTCAAATGGTGACAGTTACCGACAAACTGGTCTACATGGTACATATTTGCATGCATGTTTCTTAAATTCTTGTTTAGTTTCATAAAAATAGTGAGTGGTGTAGAATGTAGATCTTCCATACGTATGCATTCACGAGGCTGACAACTTAGGCATCAAGTGTCACCGTTTGCCAGAATTCTTGGGTTGTCGTACTTGGCCGTACGCCAACATCTTCATCATAAGTACAATTTTGTAAACATTGGGAAAGCTCATGTGGGTACATTGAGATTTCGTCGTTAATATTGCCTCCTATTGATCAACATATAAGGTACATTGAGATTTCGTCGTTAATATTGGTAGTTTTGTATTGGGTGATGAATTACCCACTTGTACATCATACAAAACTCTTGTACATCTTTACAAACTAGAGATCCAGTGTTGTTCATGCGGGTTACCTGGAATAACGATTATAACATTCTACTTCTTGAAAATCTTATCATGTATATCAATATATATATATGCATCAGATTCAAAACTAGAAGACACAATCGTGAGTTTTTTTAATCTTTGTGATTGTTTATTATTTGTACAGTTCTAACAATAACGACGTCTTGTTCTATTCTATCGGTACCAATTAATGGAAGAAAAAATGGTGTATCTCATGAAATCATGGCGTTTGATTTGAGCCATGATATTTTTCATGCTCTAGAATTATTGAAGAACATTAGGCCTTTTAATCAAGTATGTTTAGGTTTATACGGTGAGTCATCTTCATTAACATTGTGTGTTTATTATCTTGATCTCAATTGCGAAAAATGGGATATATGGGTGATAAGTGATTATAGAGTGCAGATTCACTAAGAAAGTTCATGTGATTTCACAGCCTATGTTACGAATTCCATAATTAATTATAATGAGGTTAATTTGTATGATTTCACCGTCTATGTTATCAATTCCACTATTGTTGACTTCACAGCCTATGTTACAAATTAAACAAAGTTTTTATGTGAAGTATTTTAGCTATGATTTGGGTATCGTCATATTAGTTACCGTGAAGATGTTGTGAGAATTGTGTATATCACGCATATGTTTAAGTCGAGAAACTGATTTTGAAATCACATGATACATTTAATTAGCTAAAAGCGCAGACATAAAATCACAAAACATTAAGACAATAATTACCTAATTATCGACCGTTTCAGTAGAAGATGGAGAGAGGAAAAAACGAAGATGACAAGGGAGCAAAAGAGAAGACAGCAAGAGGGCTAACCGGCTAAGCGAGATTACACATCTTCATGCCCAAAGACCATTGTTGTAATATACAATAAAATTCATGCTATGTAGAGGTTAGGGTCAATATCGTCCATTTACTTTCTTTTTTTAATTATAATGATTTTAGAATCTAAGAAATTATTATAAAATATTATAAAAAACATTAAATTTTATTTTGGGCAAATTTGATATTTTAACGGCTTAAGAAGGATAAATACGATATTTAGAAGTTAGATTGGATAAATATGATAATTTTATATGAAATTCTCCCATTTTTTTATAAAGAACTGGGATTCAAACTCAGCCACGTATTTCAAGTCTGCAGCTCTAACCCTCCGGCGTACCGACACGGCAGGCTTGTTATAATCATAAATGATTATATAGCGTCGTTCGTTCCTTTCTCCACCGCCACCATCCCCACCATCACAACCGCTACCTCCACCGCCACTACCACCACCTCTGACACCAGCTGACCTCACCACTGTCACCACGTCACTTATATCACCGCCACTTGCTGTCACCACCATCTTTTCTGCCACCAACTGTCATAATCATATATGATTACTCAGTCTGTGAACAGACATATATGTATAATCATTTATGATTACGCATACACTGCTGTTGTCAGTACACTGGAGCGTTAGAGCGGCAAATGAGAAATGTAGGGCTGTGCAATAAACCGCCCGCACCGCACCGCACCAAATCGCACCGCATAACGCGGTTTAAAACACTCTCAGTGCGGTTTGTGGTTTGTATTTTTGTTAAACCACATTATGCGGTGCGGTTTGCG